GCAGATGCTACAGGAGGACCCCGGCAGCATTTTTGGAAAATGATCTTGTGTACACCCCCAGCTGCAACCGGCCCCGAGGGGTCTACCGTGTGGAAATGTGGTGCAAACACACAAAAACGGGGATGTTCACCGGAGCCTTGCTCTGGGGTGGGGGGGGGGGGGGGGGGGGGCACGGTGCGGTGGACGGAAAGCGAAGCGAGAGACCGTCACCATGGAAGTAGTTGAGTCAATTACAGAACGGCAGCATTGGAGAGAACGCTGAGAAGTTGCAAACAATGCCGGGAAAACACGTGTGAGTACGTCTCCCCGTGTGTATATAGCTGTGCACACACGCAGGGAGAACATGGGCAGTGCACGCGGTATCCGCGGGGGATATGCAGGGGCAGAAAGGGACAAATAATACTGCACTACCTGCTTTCATATGGTAACAGATACGTGGACTCGAATTTTTGGCTTGCATTTGTATGGAGAGAATCTAAACTAATTGGAAAAGTTCCAGCAGGACTATCCAGCAGCGAGGAGCTCTCTCTTCGGTGTCTCCGATTGCTCGAACCATCCCCCGGCCACCAGAGAAAAGCAGCTTGGATCAGTAACCACTGCTTAGGACCTGGTCTCAGTGAACTGGTGGCATGCCACCATTGAGAAAGGTCGATGTCCCACGAACCCCCTTCTTGTGCCAAGTGTCTCCAAGGCCTAGAGGGCCCGGACGGCGTGTCTTCGAACACTGTCCCCCTGTCCTGGAGCCCCTGCAGGATTCAGGTTGTGCGGTCCTGCATTTGGGGACATGAGCCACACCTCCCAGAAGCTCTCCCACTTGGAAGGGCGCCTTCTTTGGGTGTGTGCTTTGGTTTGGAGAGTGTAGCCCCTCCCTTCTTTTGCGTTCTCAGATTTCTGTCTGACGTTGGCTTCTGACAGGCTCACTCTTACTGAGCTCCCGTGGGCAACGGGGACTGGGGCATCTGAATGGGCAGGACGGGACACTTCTCAATTAATCCAACTCTTTGCCCGTTCCACGCTGAATCGTGCAGCTGAGTGTGGCTGGAGGAAACCAGAGCTAGGCTGCCTGGTCTCCCCTTAAATTCATGATCCCCAACCTCAAACGGGCCCTCCATGTTTCCTGGCTGACCCACTGCACATACTTCCCTGTCTGCTCCCTTGCCCATGATCTTCAGTGACTGTTTTGTATTCCCTTCCTCCTCCAGGTCTCCGTCACCCCCCACCCCCCCACCTCCATCACCTCTCTGCTGATGTGACCAAAGAGAAGCAACGGAAATGAGGAAACGAGGATCTTCTGAAGTTTCTACCACATCCACCCCTCTTCCTGGCCAGTCTCCCTTGTCCCCTTTCACTGTCTTCCTTGATTATCGCCCCCCCACCCTTTCCCGAAGTACCAGCCACTTCTCTCCTTCTGTTCAAGGCCAGCTTACTCCACAGAGCTGTCAACGTGCGCTGTCTCCGGCTTCCCCCCCTCCCATTTTCCTGTTGACTCCAGCGCAATCTGGTTCTTACCCTCTCCGCGCTGCTCAGACTGTTCTAGAAGGCTCCGGTGACCTCGATGCTGGAAACCTAGTGTTGCCAGTCCTCAACCCACCTGATTTACCAGCAGCATTTAATAGCCTCCCTCCTTCTGAAACCTTTCTGGACTCGGCTTCCAGGACCCGCGCCCTCCTGGCTTCACGTCTGTGTCTGTGGATGGTCCTGCCATCTCCTGTGCTCTTCCCCTCCGTCTGTCTCAATTCTAGACTTTGGGGAGCCCCAGGGCTCAGATCCGGGGCCTCTTTTCTTCGCTACTCCCCCTCAACTCCCTTGGGGATTTCATCCAGGCTCCGCTTGTCATACGTGTGCTGATGATTCCCAGTCGGGCGCCTCTGGCCTGGACTCACCTCTTTGAGCTCCAGACTCGTGGGCCCCACTGCCTTCTGCATCAAGCAGGCACCTTGAACTTAACACGTGCAAAGTGAGCTCCAAAGCTCTTCCTCCTGGGGTCTCCCCTTCTCAGCAAATATGAGAAGTTCCTCCCTGCCGGGGCCCAGGCTGCTCGCCTGAGTGGTGGGGTGAGAGGCTGGCCGCACAAAGCCGGGCTTGGAGCACGGAACGGGTGGCTTACTCTTGGAAAGTGAAATAATGTTCAAGGTGAGGATCTGCCCCAGGATCATGCTTCCCTGGAGCGAGGGGACAGGTTTTGTGTTCCTGTGAACGTCAGGATGTGTCTGGCATCGATCACTGGCACCGGTTCTAGAATCTGCGCAACACCAAGAAACCAGAAGAGAACGACCTGTCTGGGAAGTTGATAAAGCATTTTATTCCACAGGAAGAAAAATAACGACTCTGATATGAGACACAGACGAAAGAGTCTTAACAGATGGGTGATTGTATAGAATCATGTTTACACAGTGGAGAACCAGGATTTTATCAAGCAGCTACTATGGTATTTTGAGGCACAGATGATGCTTAAAAACACAGTGGCCCTAGAACCTTCTGAACACCCAGGTGAGTACCCACCAAGCTGGGGCTGCTGAGAGGTCTGCTTTCCTGCCCTCTGGTCGGTCGGTGGGCGCAGGGGATCGGCCTGAGCCCCTCGGGGGAGCCCTCCCCGGGGGCAGAGCAGCAGGGCCCTGCTGGGTCTGCCAACCGTGCCTGGTCAGGGAATTAGGATGGCTTTTGATTTCTCCTTATCCAATTTCTCCTTATTCAATTTATTTTACTTTCCTCAGAGAGAAACTGGGTATTTGGGACAGCATGAAAATCGGTAGAAATTATCATAACAAAGTCTCAGACATCAAGGGCTAAACACCAATTGAAAAAGAAATGGGGCATTCAAGGAGCCAGGGGCAGGGCCTGCTTCCTTCAGAGCTTTGAATTTTTTCCTGGCCAAGCAGGAAACGAAGTCCAGAGCCCCACCGAAGCCTTCCCACCGTGGCTGGCGTGAGGGAGCTCTTAGCGGGAGCCTCTTCTCAGACCCCTTCAGCAGCGAGGGCTTGCATGACCCACCGAGAGGCGCGACTGTTTCTAGAGCTAACGTTAGAAAGGAGCCCAGAGGAGGGCATCCGAACACCTCCCTGGGTCCCTCAGGAAGCAGCGTTGCGCCCTCCACCGGCTTGCTGCGTCACAGCTGCCACGGGGGGGGGGGGGGGGGGGGGGGGGTTGGAGGACCCAAGGCCGCCCTCGTCAGTCTTACGAAATTCCACCGACTTCATTCCAGAAAGCGACAGAAGGCTCACTGAGGCAAACAATCAACCCTTCTGAGAGTTTCACCTTTAAGGGACGGTGATCTCTGGCAGTGGGTCAGTGATGACAAAAATCACAAGGCAGACTTGTGGGGCGCAGAGGAGGAGGCTGGTGAGGAAGACACAGGTCACCCTGTTGGGGATCTTGTGCGTGAGGGGACGCAGTCACGACTGGCACCCAGCAAAAAAAAAACCAAAACACGCCAACAAACGACAAACCCAAACCCACCCCAACCCTTCGCGAGCTAAGCTTCAACGCGACAACCCACCAACTTAGAGTCGGCGAAGACCACACAGACCTTGGGGTTCAAGGCGGTCCTCGAAAACCCCACCGAGCTAGAGCTCTCGAGCGCTTGTGCTAAAGCTCCCTTCCTGCTTCTTGAAAAACACGCACGCACACGCGCATGTGCGCAGAGGGGAGGGACGGTGAGATGGACAGATCAGCTTCATGTGAGTCTTGGAAGGGTTTGGGTCAAGAGTTACAAACACCCAAACCTTGCACACATCCGCTGATCCACTGAGTAATTTTCGATCTCCGCCACATGGGACGAGGTTGTTGAAACCGATTAGTTCTATTAAAACGAAAACGTTAAAATCACAAGGCTAGTCATTCATTCTAGAGTGAGCTCCCGCTCCCAACCTGTTTATTCCAACAACGAGAACAAGACCCAGGCAGAAGAGGGCACTCACACCAGGCCTTGCTACTGGCTGGAATTTAACACCGAGGACAAGAGATGTTTTAGCCAAATCTCGGTTCCACGAAAAACTTGCAAAACAGCTTTTTAATACTCGGATTTCATTCCCTTTTCTGAGGCGCTCTCTCTCCCTTCTCGTCCCAGTGTTGCCATCACTGAGCCCAGGGCTGGGCGGCTGTGGTGCTTGCCTGTGGCTTTATCAAAAGAGAAAAGAGTTCTAGGACTTTCTCCTTGTTGTTGTTCCGAAAGGAAAGGAGGGCATTCTTAACTGTGGGCTTCTGATAGATCTGTGGATTTCTGATTTGTTAAAACAAACAGTTGTGTGAGATTTTTTTTTTTTTT